AAAATTAAGCATACACTAACTGAAATAAAGAATAATTTACAGGAATACAACAGTAGAGGATTCTGAGAATCAAATAAAAAATTTGGAATATGAGGAAGCAAAAAATACCCAATCAGAAGAGCAAAAAGAATCCCCCAAAGAATCCAAAAACATGAAGATAGTGTAAGGACCCTCTGGGATAACTTCAAATGTATCAACATTTGCATTATGGGGTGTCATAAAGAGAAGAGAGAGAGCAAGATATTGAAAACTTATTTGATGAAATAATGACAGGAAACTTCCCCTTCCTGGTGAAAGAAATAGACTTACAAGTCTAGGAAGCACAGAGAGTCCCAAACAAGAGGAACTCAAAGAGGACCATACCAAGACTCATCATAATTAAAATACTAAGAGTTAAAGACAAAGAGAGAATCTTAAAAGCAGAAAGAGGGAAGATGTTAGTTATTTCAAGAGAGCACCGATAGGACTGTCAGCTGATTTTGCAATAGAAATGTGGGAATGGCCAAAACTGGTTTGGCTCAGTGGACAGAGCGTCGGTCTGCAGACTGAAAGGTCCCAGGTTCAAGGAGGTGTGCAGGAGGCAGCTGGTCAATGTTTCTCTCTCATCGACATTTCTAGCTCTCTATCCCTCTCCCTTCCTCTCTGTGGAAAATTAATAAAATATATTAAAAAAAATGTGGGAATGGCAAAAAATAGGCAAAGTGATGAATAGCAAGGACCTACAACCAAGATTACTCTACTCAGCAAAGCTATCATTTAGAACTGAAGGTCAGATAAAGAGCTTCACAGACAAGAAAAAGCTAAAGGATTTCACCACCATCAAACCAATAATATAAGAAATGTTGAAGGGTATTCTTTAAGAAGAGAAAGAAGGGTCCCGGGTTCGATTCTAGTCAAGGGCACATACCTGGGTTGCAGGCTCCTTCACAGCTCGGGCCCTGGTCAAGGCACATGCAGGAGGCAACCAATCGATGAGTTTATCTCACATTGTTTCTCTTCCACCCTCCCTAAAAATTAATGGAATAATATCCTCAGGTGAGGATTAACAACAAGAAATAAACAAATTAAAATACTCCACTGGATTTTTTGCCTTAGAATGTGCAACTGTGATTCAAATTCTCTTAAAAAAAAAAAAAAAAAAAAAAAAAAGGAGGAAGAGAAGAAAAACAAAACAAAACATGAACAATAAAATAGCAATAAATACATACCTAAAAATCAAAAGAATGAACAAGAAATCTAATGAACAAATTAAACTGATGAATAAAATAGAATCAGAGGCATGGAAATGGAATAGACTGCTGAATCTCAGAGGGAGGGGAAATTGGAGGTGGGTGGGAAAGATAAACCAAAGGTCTTATATGCATATAGGCCTTACCTATGGGAACAGAGAACAGGGTCGTGAAGGTCTCAGGTGGGGTGGACAGGTGGAGGGGGACAATGGGGTGAAAAAAGATCTGTAATACTCTCAACAATAAATATTTTAAAATAATTAATTCATTTAAAAGAAAATCAGAGAAAAGGGGCCTTGGAGACAGGATCAGGGGTTAGTCCAGGACAAGCTGCTGCTGCCCATTTCTCCCCTGGTTGCAAGTCTCCTGGGGACCCTTAGATTTTAGGAGAAAGAAAGTAAAAAGTTCATGCCCAAGAAAGGACATGGGCATACTCTGGGCACCCTTTTTCTCTCTCTTCTGCAGGTGAGAATCTGAGGGAGGGTTTCAGCAGAATATTCATCAGCTTTCCATGTGCGTTTTTAATATGCTGATGCATCAAAATGAGCTGATAAGGAGTCTGGGATTATTCTTTGGTTTGTTTTACTGTTTTACTTTTATCTTGGGTTTGTCTGGCTCTAATCAGGCTTTTATCATTTGTTTCCTGACTTCATCTGTCCTTGGGTTTGGCTGGCACAGATGGCGTTAATTAGGTCTCTGTCCTCTATCTCCGTGACCGGGGTGACAAGCTATGTATTCTCTGGTTAGGGAGGAGAGGTATACACCGTTTTCTCTCAAGTGTTCTTGGTTGGGGAAGGTAAGGTCCTCCGATTCACTAGCTGGCTATAAGTTGTTCAAATTGTTTGGTCTCATTTAATTATCTTATCTCAGTTTCCCCATTCCATTTGCCTGGGAATTTTTCTAGCTCCTTACTATTCTGCCTTATTATGAACAAAATTACATAACCTACCTTTTTAAATTTTTTAAATTTTTATTTTTAAAATATATTTTATTAATTTATTTTACAGAGAGGAAGGGAGAGGGATAGAGAGCTAGAAACATCAATGAGAGAGAAACATCAATCAGCTGCCTCCTGCACACCCCCTACTGGGTACATGCCTTTGGCCGGAATCGAACCTGGGACCTTTGAGTCCGCAGGCTGACACTCTATCCACTGAGCCAAACTGGTTTTGGCCTTTTTCTTATTTTTAAAAATCTTTATTGTTGAGAGTATTACAGATGTCCCTCCCCTCCTTCGCCCCCCTCTTCCCCATTGCCTCCCTCCACCCGGTTCCTGCCCTGCCCCAGGTCTTCGCAACCCTGTTGTCAGTGTCCATAGGTAATGCATATATGCATATAAGATCTTTGTTTACTCTCTTCCCGCCCCCAACACCACCTCCTTCACCAGTCTGTTCCATTTCCATGCCTCTGATTCTATTTTATTCACCAATGTATTCTGTTCATTAGATTTCCTTTTTTTTTAATTTTTAGATTCAATTGTTGATAGATATGTATTTATTGCCATTGTATTGTTCATATTTTTGTTCTTCTTTTTCTTCTTCTTCCTCTTATTAAAGAACACCCTTTGACATTTCATGTAATACTGGTTTGGTGGTGATGAACTTCTTTAGCTTTTTCTTGTCTGTGAAGTTCTTTATCTGACCTTCAGTTCTGAATGATAGTTTGGCTGGGTAGAGTAATCTTGGTTATAGCTTCTTGCTATTCATCACTTTGGATATTTTCTGCCACTCCCCCCATAATGTGAATTTTGGTATGCTTGAAGTTGTCCCAGAGGCTCCTTACACTATCTTCATATTTTTGGATTATTTTTTCTTTTTGCTCTTTTGATTGGGTGTTTTTTTTTGTTTTTTTTTGCTTCCTCATATTTCAAATTGATTTGATTTTCAGAAACCTCTACTCTACTGTAAATTATTCTTTATTTCAGTTAGTGTATGCTTAATTTCTAACTGGTCACTTTTCATGTCTGAAATTCTCACTAAGATCCTAAAAGTCTCACTAAGTCCCTTGAAGCTCACATTTCCCTTGAAGCTCACATTAAGATCACTGAATAACTTGCCGAAACCGGTTTGGCTCAGTGGATAGAGCGTCGGCCTGTGGACTGAAAGGTCCCGGGTTCGATTCTGGTCAAGGGCATGTACGTTGGTTGCTGGCACATCCCCAGTCGGGGGTGGGCAAGAGGCAGCTGGTCGATGTTTCTCTCTCATCAACATTTCTAACTCTCCATCCCTCTCAATTCCTCTCTGTGTAAAATCAATAAAAAATATATTTAAAAAAATCACTGAGTAACTTTATAAGCATTGTTTTGTACTCTGTATTCAGTAGTTTGCTTGCTTCCATTTCTTTCATTTGTGACCTGTTTCTTTGCCTCTGCATTTTGGCTGCCTCCCTGTGTTTGTTTCTATGTATTGGGTAGAGTTGCTATGTCCTCTTGAGTTGGTAGAGTGGCCTTGTGTAGTAGGTGTCCTGTAGAGAGAGAGAGAGAAACATCGATCAGCTGCCTCCTACATGTCCCCTGCCAGAAATCAGCTCCACATCCAGGCATGTGCCCGGACTGGGAATTGAACTGGCAACCGAGAAGGACTTACAGTAGAGTAGAGGTTTCTGAGAATAAAATCAACAATTTGAAATATGAGGAAGCAAAAAAAAAACAAACACCCAATCAAAAGAGCAAAAAGAAAAAGAACCCGCCGAAACCGGTTTGGCTCAGTGGTAGAGCGTTGGTCTGCGGATTGAAAGGTCCCAGGTTCGATTCCGGTCAGGGGCATATACGTAGGTTGCGGGCACATCCCCAGCGGGGGGGGGGTGTGCAAGAGGCAGCTGGTCGATATTTCTCTCTCATAGCAATGCTTAAGTCTTCAGGAACAAGAGAAACAACCTGAATTTTATTTTATTTTTTAAAATATATTTTATTCGCCGAAACCGGTTTGGCTCAGTGGTAGAGCGTCGGTCTGTGGACTGAAGGGTCCCGGGTTCGATTCCGGTCAAGGGCATGTACCTTGGTTGCGGGCATATTCCCGGTAGGGGTGTGCAAGAGGCAGCTGGTCGATGTTTCTCTCTCATCGACGTTTCTAGCTCTCTATCTCTCTCCCTTCCTCTCTGTAAAAAATCAATAAAATATATTTAAAAAAAATAAAATAAAATATATTTTATTGATTTAAAAATATATTTTATTGATTTTTAACAGAGAGGAAGGGAGAGGGATAGAAAGCTAGAAACATCGATGAGAGAGAAACATCGATCAGCTGCCTCCTGCACACACCCTACCGGGGATGTGTCTGCAACTAATGTACATGCCCTTGACCGGAATCGAACCTGGGACCTTTCAGTCTGCAGACCGACGCTCTATCCACTAAGCCAAACCAGTTTTGGCTATTTTATTGATTTTTTACAGAGAGGAAGGGAAAGGAATAGAGAATTAGAAATATCGATGAGAGAGAAACATCAACCAGCTGCCTCTTGCACACTCCCCATCGGAAATGTGCTCGCAACCAAGGTACGTGCCCTTGACCAGAATTGAACCTGGGACCCTTGAGTCCGCAGGCCGACGCTCTATCCACTGAATCAAACCGGTTAGGGCAACAACCCGAATTTTAGATAGTAGTTTCTCTCATTGTTTTCCCCAGTTCTCTTCTTTCATTGTGCACTTCTCGTGTTCTGTGTTACTCCTTCATGTTCCCAGTAATGTTCCTTTATCTGCTGGCTTTCTGTGCTCGGTTTACTTTTCCTGCTTATTCACTCGTCCGCCAACCTCCCTCCTTGCGCTGCCTGCAGCCGACCACGTGTCAACGTATGCGGAGTTTGTGCAGACGCACAGCCTGTCTGGGGAGTACATGTTCCAGTTTGACGGGGATGAGCAGTTCTACGTGGACCTGGACAGGAAGGAGACGGTCTGGCGGCTGCCGGGGTTTATCCACACCTTCGACTACGATGCTCGGAGGGGCTTGCTGACATCGCCATGGCAAGAAAGAACCTGGACACCTGAGCCAGCGGGCCAACCACACCAGCACCATGAATGGTTCTCTTACCCTTGCTCATCCCTCAGCCTGGCAGGTGGGGGCCCGGAGCCCACTTGTGGTGGCCCCGTGAGGGTCAGAGGAGGCACTGCCCTCCTATTCGAGGAAGAGGCCGGGCTGAGGGCGGCCGGGTCAGGGGCACAAGAAGCCGTGACTCTGATCTGGGCGCCCTGGGGGTAGAAGGGGGGGGGGCCCTGAGAGGGATGACCCCTAATTGGAGAACACTGGGCCCCAGGTGGACCCTTAGAGGCAGCCGGAGGCCCAGGCTCACCAGGGCTGTCCCCCTCAGAGCCCCCCGAGGTGACGGTGTTTACCAAGGAGCTGTGGAGCTGGGCCAGCCCAACACCCTCAACTGCCACGTGGACAAATTCTTCCCGCCCGCGCTCAATGTGACCTGGCTGCGCAATGGGCGGGCGGTGACGGAGGGCATGGCCGAGACCATCTTCCTGCCCAGCGCGGAGTTCAGCTTCCACAGGTTCCACTACCTGACCTTCGTGCCCTCGGCCGAGGACCTCTACGCCTGCCAGGTGGAGCACTGGGGCCTGGCCGGCCGCTCCCCGGGCACTGGGGTACGGGGCCGCACCCGCAACACCGTCCCTGCACCGTCTCTGGCCCAGCACCCCTCGCCTCCACACCTGCTCTCTGGCTTTCCTTATCCCGTGGTGTATCGTCACTCTGCCCAGCCACCATCTCATGGGTTCTAACTTTTTTTTTTTTTTCAATTCTCACATGAGGGTATTTTTTTCCATTGCTTTTCAGAGAGCATGGGAGGGAGGGGGAGAGAGAAACATTGATGTGAGACAGACACAGCCTGGCTGCCTCCTGCACGCACCCGACGGGGGGTGGGCGGGAATGAAGCCGCCACCCAGGCGTGTGCCGTGACCAGGCATGGAACCTGAGGCGCTTCGGTGCGCCGGACGGCACTCTAACCGCTGGGCACACTGCCAGGGCCCCTTAAAGCCCACACCCAAGGCCTGCTCCTGCTCTCCACACCTCTGACTTCATCTTTCCTCTGTGCCCAGAGGCCCAGGAGCCCATCCAGGTGCCCGAGACAGCAGAGACGGTGGTGTGTGCCCTGGGCCTGCTGGTGGGCCTGGCGGGGATCGTGGCCGTCTCCATCGCCCTGAGGAGCAGGCGGCCTGACAGTCCCCGGGGTGCAGGGGCCCCTGTGAGTCCCCGGGGGCGGGCAGGGGCTCAGTGGAAAGGGGAGGCGGGCGCTGGGGGGCTGTGTCCTCACCAGGGCCCGCTGCCCCAGGCACGTAGGAGCCAGCCCCGCGGTGGGCTCTGGAGAGGAGAAACGGCTGTGTCTGCGGGCTGCCGGCCGGACTGCGGCAGAGGCGCCAGCCGGTCGCCTGGGCTGGGCAGCTCAGGGCTCACAGGAGTTGCTCGTGAGTGAAGTTTGGCAAGGGCTCCTGGCAGGTGACGGAGCCACTTTGGTTCTGGGTGTCAGACACGTAGGAAACACGCGACATGGATGTGCACCCGTGAGTGTCAGCACGGCCGTGACCAGTAAGTTCTCGCCAGGAGAGCAAACGCTGCAGCACCCCAGAGGCTCTGGTTTGAGCAGCACACACTTAAAGCTTTTCAGGAAGTGGGGCTCCTTTTTCCCATAATGCACAGCTCCTGGCACACAGTGGGTGCTCAGCACCTGTCTCTTATAGAAGAGTAACTTATTACGTAAGCAGTAGGTACCCACTGGACACTTTCTACCTCGAAGATGGCACCTCATCTGGAGCTGGTGCAGCCACGCGGTGTGCTTGGGGAAGTGTAGGCAGTGATGTGGCTTCCAGGGGGACCACTGAGAGGCGGCGTGTGATCGGCCAGGCCCCCTGGGGTGCTGGGGCAGGTGCTGGGAAGGGTCTGTGCGGGCGCCCAGCGGCCCAGACCAGCGGCGGGACACGCGGCGGGAGCAGGCGCCGGGGCCAGGCACCTCCTCGCTGCGCAGCGTGGGCCCAGGCCGCAGAGGCAGGAGCGGTGAGAGCTTTCATCCCAGAGGGAGCGGCTTCGGGAGGAGGCAGCAGCACGGTGCCCGCTGGCCGCAGTGTAGACGGTCCTTGGAGCCCCTAAGGGCAGCCTCTCACTGCCCCGCCCTCCTCCCTCTCCACCCGCCTCCGTCCACTGGTCTCACTGGTGGGCGTCACCGTCTGGGGAGAGCTGGAGAGGGGGAAGGGCTCTCCCTGGGCGCCTGGCTTCTCACCCGCCTGCCCTGCGGCAGCAACACCTGCTGGGACCCCCACCGCCAGCCTGGGCAGGAGGCAGGGAAGGGGGGGAGGCAGGGAAGCAGGGGAGGCAGGGAAGGGAGCGGGAGGCAGGGAAGGGGGGGAGGCAGGGAAGGGAGCGGGAGGCAGGGAAGCAGGGGAGGCAGGGAAGGGGGGGAGGCAGGGAAGGGGGTGAGAGAGGAAGAGGGTCAGTGCCCATGGGGTGCCCTAACCCCACTGTTTGTCCTACCGCAGGTGACAGGCTGTCGGTGGCAGAAGAGGGCTGAGGGGAGACAGCAGGGTCAGGCCTGCTTTAAAGCTCAGGCCCTTTGAGCCTCTGTGTTCACATCAGTGACTGAGGCCTGTCTGTGACCTCTGGCCCTTGGCAGCCTGCCGAGGCCCCCTGTAGACAGATGTCAATAAAAGATGAGGTTTGAAGTGTGGTGACGCCGCATGGTCTCGGAGTCTCCGAGCCCGGCTGCCCGGTGTCTCCCTGCCAGGCTGCCCGTGCGGCAGGCGGGCCGCAGCCCAGGGCCTCTCCCGGGCTCCACACTGCGGCCCCCTGGGCACACGTCCTGGCCGGGACGCGGTGCCCTGCGGCACTCTGTGGCCCTGCCAGGAGGTGGGTCTAGAGAACGCTGGCCGCCCCCGGCACTTCCCGGTCTCAGCGTGGGCACAGGAGCAGGCAGGTGGGCGCTCACGAGCTCACCATGGGGCTGGCTCACTCGGACGATTCCTCACTTCCTCTCTGCGCTCTCCCCTCCACCCTCTCCTATGTCACCCGGAGTCAGCCCCCTCTGGCCTCTGACCTCCTGGCCCTCTCCCCCGGCAGCAGGAAGACCCATCTCCACCAGACCCACTGCTCCTCCAGCGAGGTGCTCCCCTTAGTGCCTCCGTGTCTTCTCCCGCACAGCCCCTCCGGGAGAGAAGACAGTGGGTGCTGGGCTGGGCCAGGACAGGCGGGGAGCTGTCTGTACTGTGCCCACTGCTACCCCACCCACCCTTCCAGCCTCACTTCTCCCCCATCTTCTTTCAAGGGCGCCGTGCCCACCATGGAGGTCCCATGTGCTAGCTGGTTTACTCATGTCTAAGCCCCAATTGTGGTTAAGGTCCTAGCTCTCCCTCTCCCTCTCCACCCCCCACCCCCCAAGCAAAGTATGGAGATGTGCACGAGCAGTTTCAGTGGGGGAATTCGGACATAAACTACTCCACCGTCCGCTGCGTGGTCTCGGGGTGCCTGGCGCAGAGTAGGGAGCGTGAGGGGGATACAGGAGCCCAGCTTTGCTTGAGGAGGAGCCACCACCCACTTCCCACACGGGCTGTACTGCCTGACCCTGGGGCCCAGGCCCTGCAGGGCAACCGTGGTTCCCGGTTCGGATCTTTGATGTTGAAACGGTGTGAGGGTTTTGTTTGTTTGTTTGTTTGTTTTGTGTGTGTGTTTACATTTGTTTGTTCTTGTTTTCTTTTTTTTTCTTTTGAGGTTTAATTGACATACAACATTATATTAATTTCAGGTATTGCTAAAAGAGTAAGTCTCAAGAGTTCTCATTACAAGAATAATATTGGTAACTAGTATGGTGAAGGTGTTAACTACTTATGACAGTGATCATTTCACTCAAATGTCGTGTCATTAAGCTGTGCGCCCGGCAGGCCAGCCTGACCCTCTGTGAGAGGGGGATGTGGGGGCTGTGGAGGGGAGAGAAGTGGGTATCTGGGGCCTGGGTGGTGGCAGGTGGCCTTCCCTGGTCACTCCCCCCTGACCTCGCACTCACTCTTCCAGGCCTGAGTCAGGACCAGGGCCCCAGAGCAGCAGGGGGAGGGTTTGGGAATTGGGGGCTCACATTCTACAGGTCTGAGGAGACTCTGAGCCCCCCTGGAGGAGACGGAGAAGCTGATTGGCTTCTTTAGAAACCGGACACCTCATGGGAGTGAGAGCTGGGGCTGGGCCCTGAGTATCCAGGAAGGAGGACCGCACACAGGTTGTGAGAAGGAGAAGTGAAACCCCAGGGAGATGGGGCTCCCAACACTGAGCTTCCCCCCCTCAGACTGTGCCCTCTCCCTCGGCTGAGCCCCTGAGAGCCAGGCCTGGGGTGCTGATGCTTCATTACCAGACGCAACCCAGTCATGGCACCGGTTTCCAGACTTAGGCCGCCCCGCCCTGCCCCGCCCCGCCCTGCCCTGTGGGGTGGTGGGGAGGCGCTGGCAGAGCGGGAGCAGGCAGTGCCACTGTGGAAGGAGGGCTGTTGACAATGACAAGGTCGAGGGGACGACAAGGTCGAGGGGACCAGGGAGAGCCGAGCGGGAGGGCAGGAGGGAGGAGCTCGGGGCTGAGCAGCAGGCTGAGCCCCTTTCAGGGGCGTGCTCTGTCCTGTGGCACAGTCACCACCAGCCGTGTGGGGGCTGCACAGCCCTGTCCTCACGGGGCCAGAGCCAGGCATGGGCAGGTCTCTGCTCCTCACGGAACCGTCCTCTTGGTGGTCTGAATGCAGATTCCTGCAGAGGAGCACTGAGGCCCCCTTTCCTTGCTGGCTGTCAGCTGGAGCCCCCTGAGCTCCTAGAGGACGACTTGGGCCCTGGACGTGGCCCCTGCAGCACCGACCCCCCCCCCCCCCACACACACCCGTGGAACCTCTCTGACCTGCCCCCATCTCTCCTGCAGCAGCTCCTGCTCCAGCCCAGAAACTGCTCTGCCTCCCGGTTTGCAGAGGTGATGGGCGGCCCACTAACCCGTGTCTCCCTGTCCAAGGTCCTGAACCGCAGTGCAGCACCCAGGTCTGCCTGTGAGGACGCAGCCCACGGCTCCAAGGACTGGCCTAGACACAGTCTGATTGTGCTGGAAGCATCAGGATCGAGGAGGGAGAGTCTGGGGAGAGTGACAGCCAGCTGGGAGCTAAAAGGAATGGGGGTACCTGCAATGAGGGGGTGGGGGCTCTAATCTGATGACGGATTAGGGGTGTTAGGCAAGAGGGAGGGCCAAAGCAGCTGAGAAATAGGGACCCCACCCACTTCCAGGCCCCAAGGCACAAGGTTAGAGGGAGAGGAGACCCCACGGGAGTGTTTTGGGTTATAATCCAGCACATTGTTGCTCACACTGTCCCAGCCACGTTCATAGCCAGCGGTGCTGGGGCTCAGGTGGCCCAGCCATGCACTCCCCCTTGGGGAGGTACAGTCCCCTTCCCACATTCCAAGGTGTTCCTGGCTCATCTCGCATCTGCTTATGTCTTACCCTGGAATCAGCTATTTTTCTGAAGAGCTCTGGTTCCTTTTATTAGAGGATGACATTTTGAGACCTGCCTCAACCTACACAGCGGGTTTCAGGATGACCTGTAGGAGGGCTGATGCACAATGAAGATACTACATAAGAAATATGAATTTTTAAGGCATTGGGAGGCCAGGTGGAGCCTCTTGCAAGAAGAGGAACCCAGGAGTCTGGGTCCTGCCTGCTTTTATTCAGTTTGGTTACACATTTTCCCTTTAGCAATGCATGTAGGCAGATCAAAGGTAAAGTCTGGTAAACAATGTAAAGATGATCAGGCCAGGAAATTGCCATGAGCCATCGCCATCACAGCAGGAGCAATCTACGCTGATTCAGCCCTGCTGAGATTGAGGTCCATCGGTCTTTGTGTCTCTTTTGCACTTTCATGCTAATGCTGCTGTGCGGTGGTCTCTGGCAGAGACCAGGTCTGTGCTCATTTCACTTTCCAAAGAGGACACAGATCCTGAGGGCTCCCACATGCTCCACAGCTGGCTGTCATGCTAGCACCGCCTCAGCACTTGTCGGAGCAGCTTTGCATGGCCAGCACTCAGGGCCAGTCCTCCATGCGCACCTTTATTTCGTAAAGCTTCTCTTGTTCCACTCTGCAGGGCTCACACATTAATAATTGTATTCCCTAATATTTGGAGATTTTCCTAGAAACACTAATTTTACATTTCAGTAACAAGTTTCACTTATAAAATTGACCAGACCAGGCAAGAGGGAGAGGAAGGAGTCCCTCACACTTTCTTTTCAGGTGGGATTTTCTCTGTTCCTGCTGCTCCTTGTGTGGGCCCGGGCCTGCGGGAAGGATGGCTCCCTTGGGCCATGAGAAAAAATGATGATGTGAGAACACCTTTCTCCATCACATCCCCAACCCTGGGCTTTCCCTCTGGCCACTCCCATCTCCTTCCCCACCCCCACCCCTGCCCAGGAGCCTTTCCCTCTCTCACCTCAGCTATTGCCCAGCCTCTACTGAGAGCCCCTGCCCAGTGAGAGGAGAGCCAGTCCTCCCACTGGAGGGCAGAGAGGAGGGAGGTCAGGGCCAGGGAGGGAAGGACGTGATAGCAGCAAGGACTTTGGAATGAGGAGGAGGTGTGAGTGATCAGAGTGCCTAGTTTACTCCTGGCCTCTTTGTTTAGGAGGGAATGGAAGGGCCTTGGGTGTAGGGGCAGAGAGCATGGGCAGAGCACCGACAGCAGTTAGCATGGCATAGACTGCAGGGAAGCCCCAGGCCTGGCAAACAGAGCCCAAACAGCAGAGCTTGGGGCTTTCTTAGCAAGGTGGCAGCGGGAACACCCCCAGACCCCACAGACAGAGCCAGGACAGCAGGGCATAGGGGCTTCCTTCGTGTGTCAGTGTCAGCAAAGCCCCCAGGCCTGGTAGACAGAGCACACTGCAGGGCACTGGGGCTTCCTTCCCATGGCGCATGGCAAGGCAGGCAGAGAACAGAGAGCAGGGCATGGGGCTTCATCTCCATGGCTGTAGCAAAACCTCCAGGCCCACAGAGAGCAGAGAACCACAGGGAATGGGCCTAAGGCATCAGTAGGACATCCCCTGAGAGGTCCTGGATTGTAGAGGGTGCAGGTTGGGCTGAGGGACTCCTGTGCATGAATTAGGTGCCTCTATTCTACCTAATAAAAGAGTAACATGCTAATTGACCGTACCTTCGAGACATCCACCATCCAATCAGGAATGAGCACGCAAATTAACCCAACAAAGATGTCGTGTTAATTTGCACACACAGGTGTTAAGAGAGCAGAGAACCACAGGGGATGGGACGGGATGCTTGCATCGTTCTGCACTACCCCAGCCACTCTGGGCTTCTGGGCAGTGTGGAAAGGTGGAAAGGTGGCTCTGGCCAGAGCCAATGCTGCTGGCAACCAGGGGAAGGAAGGCCCATTCTTGCATGAATCTTCGTGCATTGGACCTCTGGAGATCAAATGAAGATAAAACGAACAAGCAACACCAACACTTTGTCACCCAGATGTGATGTTTGAACTTTTAACACAGAAAGCTGGTCCTAAGAGAAAACAAGCTTTGTATCCCGGCCTTGCAGGAGGAATTGCACACTGGTAGT